ATGCTCGGCCATTCGCGTCCGGAGTAATCTTCCGGTTTCTCCGACATAGTTGATTTTTCCACAACTGCACCAGATTCAGCAAACGACTCCAGCCGTCTCCTAGCAGTGGGTCTTTCGGTCTCATGACCCGGTGCCTGATGGTTGCTTCTGGCCTATGCGCAACTCCAACTCCAAGAGGGGTGAGTAGGCGGTTGACCGCTTCCGATACATTCTTCACGTACGGACGAGCTCGCCAAACTTTTGGACCAATTGGATTTGGCTTCTTCTCTCGTTTGTGTATGCATTGGTTGGCAAAATTGCGCAGGTAACCATTCACTCTCAGTACCCGTAACGCAATTATCAGGCCCGCATCCGACGCTAACATGGCAATTAGGATGTCGAACGCGAAGTGTCAAGCCAGTACCGCATCAATTAAGACCCAAGCGGTGTCTACAGAAGTTAACAATTATCAGCCACACGCGGATGACCACTATGAACTATAAATCGGACCATGCATCAGGCAAATAAAAATCTTGTTCCAGTGATCGCATCTTCTTCTTCTGAACTGCTTCCTGGAACTCGCATCTTCTCTACTATTGGTTTCTCAGCTTATTAAAACCCGCGCCCAGCCGAGGAAGCACGGGCTCGAGTCATGTGGACAGCGACTTATAATAGTAAAAAACACGTGATGGCAAGAGGAAGGTATAATTGGCAGAAACTGCGGGTTTTTTTTATTTTTTTCTGAAGTTCTAATCCGGAATCCTCCTAGGTCGTCGCAGATAGAGAGACTGCTGGCAATTATCAATCCAAGTCGGCAGCCCCAGGCTAAAATTGAATCACCGTACTTTGCCATGCAGTCAGGTTAGGTCAAGGTCAAACGCCAAGTCCCATGCTTCCAAAAAGAGCATTTAAATAAAAAAAAATAATCATGGGAGTTAAGGTTGGTGGTGGTGGAGGGACTCACAAGTTGAACTTCTCATCCCAGGTTGGGTTGAGTTCCTGAGGTACAGTCTTTGTGCGTCGACGAACCTTCCCCACTTGGACAGTCACGTAGGGGTCGCTGCGTCCGCTCTTATCCTTTCCGATCAAACCCTGAGCAGACTTGACTGAAAGGGAAGGGGGGGGGAGAAAGACGCCTAAGTGAAGACACACTTTACTGGTAAACTAACGGAATCTTCACCACTAGCCGTAAACACACGACTTGCCTCCCGTGCCCGCCACCTGCTGCTTTTAATGTGCTCTTGTGGGCTACATCGTTGGTTGGACAATTCTCACGTCATGCCGTGCCACGTGGCAGCGAAGGTATATCAATAATCGATATCGTGGCCGTCCCACGGTCACATAACGCGTACTTCTAGGACGAGATAGGCTGGAGAGGATGGACAGAGGGCGGGAGTGGGGCGAAGCTGCAAAGCGGTCGTCCCCTAGCAGAGCAATGTGAGATAGGCAGCGGATGGTAGACAGAGGAGAAAACAGGAAACCAGGCAAGACCGGTTG